TGCGACGACGGTTCATCGCGAGGGATAAGGGATTATCGATTTTCCTGGATGGTGGAAATAATTTTTGACGACTCAGGGGCCGGTGGAATTTCTTCGAAATTTAGCTTCGGGGGTAGCGAAAAAGGTAATTTACCGGTGAATCGAACGGCGCATCTGCTCGCAACAATATCGACAACGGGGTCACGAAAGTTTCTCGAACACATCGTATGCACGTTCCTCGCGTGTAATTAGCCCGGCGTGTCTACTTCCGAGTCGAGGCGGTGGGAGAGTTCCTAAAACCATTTCCGGCCGGGGCACCTTTTTATTCCGACCGTCCCACGCATGGCGGCACAGGAGGGAAGTGGCGATCAAACGTAGCAAGGACAGACCTTGCTGACCCCCCTCGAAGCGTAGCGTTCTTCGAGGCAGGTACGATCGTAGACGTTATCGAGCTCGGGGCCATATGTCACCCTTTTAGCCAACCAGCACAGCCCCCCTGTGCCACCTAAGATAATTACCAGGAAGCAGTATCTCGCTACGAAGTATCCATTTTTAGTGGAAAAATGCCGGGAATAATAAATTCGAAGAGACCACGATAGCATCTAATTCATTTTCATAACATTTATTTACGCTTTATTGCATTTTTATTATGCCAAAGTATAACCATTTGTACGTCAAAATTCTCCATATGTAATAATTCGGTTTGATGACACCCAATTCTGCCCTACGTTAGCGTAGACCTCGAGGTGCTTGGATTATCTGCAATTTTATTTCATATTTTAATTATATTTCTTTATTTATTCGACGGGTAAGCACCGTTTATAAGGAAATAATACAGTAAAGCAAAAATAATTAAAGAAAAATAAAAATAAAAGGAGCACAATTACACAGAAACTTATACAGAAGGATACATTGTTCTACATCATAAATACCCAAAATGAGACTGCGAAGTACTGCAGTGCTTATAGCTGCAGATTTGTAGCCTCTAGCAATCTGATTGCCTCGGCCTTAAAACTATCTAAGGATAAATTGACAAAGTTTAAGTCAGCAAGTGAGTTGGTTAGATTACAAATTCGGTTAAAGGGATAAATAAAAATTTATAAATATATATATATAACAGAATTAATATTTTTCTTTTTAAAGATTACTTTGGAACACGCTTACTCTAATATTGCCCATTATGTTTGCCAAGCAAGTTATCAACCCTTTGTACTGCAACAACGAGTCTATCTCGTCAGAAGCTCTTATCGAATATCATAATTATCTACTACCCCTGTCATGCGTCCAAAATTAATCAGTTTTAACACTAGAACTACCAACCCGGTCAAAATTTTCCTTTTCGCAATCACCGAACATACATCTGCTTTAAAAATAAAATTGGTACCAACTCGTATCAAGAAAGAACTGTAATGAATATATTCGCTCATATTCACCGTACCGCTAAAATTACTATAATCTGTGCACGTTATAGTTGGGTACCCATTAAAGATCGGTAACTCTAGTATTAACCGGAAACAAAAAATTTGAAGAAATTCCGAAATTTCTGTATAATACTTGCTCGATGCTTAATTTTTCGGAATGAAATGGCAGCTCGAAGAGATACTTGAATCCCCGATCTCGCAAATTTGAGGAAAATTTGTCGACCCTGCGACAGCGATTGCAACCCTCGATCACGGGTCACGAAAAGCAAAGAGGAACACCCCTGTAAAACACCATAATACGGAACGGGTAGTCGCATTGTTGGTATCGATTGGGAAGACGCTGCAGGGCGGTGTAATCGTTATTCGATCAGACGAATCGCGGAGGCAAGGGAATAATCGATGAATTCTAAGCCGTTGGCTTGCCACCCTCTTCCTTGCGCGATCGCGCGAACACGAGAGAACAGTGAAACTGGAAACATAGGCGCGAGCGCGCGAGAGTTGGCTGGTTCGGAGGGAGGAAAAAAAGTACAACGATTCCGTGCTTCCACCAATTCGCCGCTTTTGCCACGTGTTGCTATATACGTATTCCTCTCTTTGAGCCTTCTTGTTGCTTCATGAGCCGCGTATATATACGTCTAGTCGCTCTCCGTCGATATATAGGGGGCGAGTGCTCGTGTCCTCGAACGCAGGCGGCCTCGTGCGTAGGCAAACTATGGAATATGTCAGCCTATTGAGCGCAGGTGCTTTAAGCTGCTCAGCTGTTGCTTCGAATCTCATGCACATTCACGCGGGGTGTGTATCGCGTTGATATCGGTGCACACTAAGCAGCGCACCGTATCGGCCGTCCGCGTGCGTGCAAACGCTCCACCGACTCACGTGTTCTACCCACGCACTTATGCGTATCGGCAATTGAACGGTGAAACGATCGGGGCCCTCGCAGCGAGCACTGTCGTCGCTCAATGAATTCGTTCAACGGCCGTCGATTATCCTCCATCGGCCAAGTTACGCCGAGTCCTCAGGGGCTACCGATTCTCCTAGTTTAGAATATTGGGCCAGTTGCATTTTTCCAATCGCCATTATCGTTCCGGGATCTCCGCATGGGATGTAGAGCAGAATGGACGTATTTAGTTCGATCAGCTTCAGCTTTGCGCGAGGTTTTTACTTGGGATGTATAGGGTGGATCAGGTAATCAGATTACGTGGATTATTTTGGATAATTTGTGTCGAGGTCCCAGGAATTGGACATTCACGTCCTGAATTAAGTGGAGGACTGTTTATGTCCTTATTGTCAGCGTCCCCTCGTTCGTATACACTCGTTATCATCTAGTTATCGCTTGGGTGAACCTTGGCCAGGTCAATACGTCATCCTTAAGACACTGTGCATAAGGTCCCAAATTATGTACAACATGTCGAAGCTAACGCACACCTCTAATGTAATTCGCAATCAATAGGAAGACACGCATGCACTACTTACGTTTCACATCGACCAATCTGTTGGTAGACGTACAAATTTATAAAACCACCGAGACAGCAGTCATGACCAGATAGCCAAGACAAACCCACGACGATTAACTTAGCGTGAGACACAGTCACCCGTCAAAACTCTATAGTTCATCCCTAACCAGGTCTAGCTCTGTTAATTTAGAGTAGGCCCCATCCCAGCAAAATTCTCGCATCCGCGGAAATGGGCCTTATAACCCCGCGAAGCTCCCGTAATAAGAGTTGCAGTGTTCTAGACGCAACAATTTAGGCGTGGAATAAGAAATTATTTTCTCGCAAATTAAGCAAAGTTAACGGTGTATCGAAGATGAGGTGACAAATCAAGTTACTAAAACGTGAAACATCGTCAAAGTGGTCGCGTTAAGCGGTCCATCCTGTAGGGTAACTGTTACTTTGATTTCGGAGCAGGGAAGGCTTCGTAGCCTTGGTTTAGGGTAGACGGTAGGGGTGTCCAACCTTTGAGCTCCCCATATTGAATCACATTGGAAAAACACGAGTTATTTTGGATATGGACGATAGAATGCAGTTGACATATTTTCGCAATTTAACTTGTATTAATTTATGACTTTTACGATTCTAAAGACAGCAACGTGGAATTAGTTTGACACTGTTTCGTACGTTTTATTCGACATTTTATAGATAAAATTGGACCGCATCTCTGGTCAGGGTGCAAGTTTCTGAGAAATTTTCCGAGATAACGAAATTCCGATACTCTTCTCCGTTTGTTTAATAAATCTTGGGTTTCCAATCTTGGGATGACGCGATAATTGCAAACTGTTAATCGGCAGCAGATATAGTCGTCCACTTTCTAGTTTGAGGAAACACGGGATGATGCGGCCGGTGTATGACCGAGGATCTACTGTCAATTAAACTCCTCTGTCTTTCTCCCTTGCTATCGATCAACTTGCAGCGTGTAATAGGCGAAGAGTCGACTTGCCGGAACAGACGACCACGCTCTGAATAAGAAATTCAACGCAGGTAATTTTCTTATGCCCTGTCCTCGGTCATCCTCGTCTTCGACAATTCCTGGAGTTCGCTGTACTTGCACTTTTTCGCTAGCACCCCCGGCAAGACTTCGGACCAAGTTAGATCACAGTGTCCGCGTTACTGTCCTATTCTTCGTTCTGCCGTCGTGATCGATTACTAGTATTTTTAACTAGCAACGCTTGCTATTCTCCCTGTGCACGCGCTTCCTACGGTTTACGTGACGCGATCGTGCGATGAACCGATACACTTTTCCCCGGCTTCCGCCCCTGAGATTTCGATGCCTCTGGCTAAACCGTGACGAGGAATCTGTGCGGATACTCGGCCCCGATCGTCGTCACGAAACTGAGTCCTCCTTGGCAATTGATCGCTTATCGGCACGTTTCTCCGTAATAATAACTCCTTTCGATAAGATTTATGGTAAGACGGTGAGTGGCGAAGCAATGTCTTCAACGGTATTATTAAATTATTCGATACCCCTAAAATGGCGAGGAAAGACTCGTGGTTTGATTACGAGAAAAATGAAAAAATCGAATTTCAAAGTGTCCAAAACGAGGACACTTTGAAAGATTGGACTTTTCCTTCGCGAGGAAAATCGGGAAATTTCGAATTTTTCCACCGCGAAACTTTCAAAGTTTCGACGTTGCGACGAATCCACCCCTAGTTTAAGCTTCTACGCATGTCTCCGGACTCGGTATATTTACTAGTCTCCGGACACGTGTCTGCGCGCAATCGCCCTGGTATCTTCGCCTGCCCGCTTAAACCGTGGGTATAGATGGAAAAATAAATTGACCGGTATAAAGATAAATAGGTAAAATTGGCGAAGAAGGCGGATTCCGGTGGTTTCCTCGTCCACGACGAATCGGTACGCGTGTCATGGAAGAGGAACGAACGAGAGTGGCAGTCGAGACGGGACGATTCTATCTACGGAAGCAGCCGCGACTGCTATACCGAGACCGCGTTTAAACTAAAATACGATCGGCGAATGGCGACTTGGCCAAGTGCAGTGGTATCGATCGACGATATCGCCGTACACTCGCGAGACACAGAAGGTGTGTTTTTCGGTGCACAGTCAGGCTGACTCGTATAACCGGTATCCTCTGGTTTTGCATTTCAGACGGATAAGGAGAACCACGGGAAGGAAAATCGAGACGAGGGAGCGAGGGGCACCTAGCCCTTTGGCGAGGTCGAAGGATGCAGCTCCCAGGCGGGAGCACGAGAATTCCGCCCGCGAGAACACCGGCCTCGGTTCTCGTGATCATCAGCCTAAGCAACATCGTATCGACTGTGACGAAGAAACGCAACGGCAACGGTAGAAACAGCAGCGACAACGGCGGACCCCGTACAAATAGCAATAGAGACTTAAGGAAAAGCGATAGCCAGAGAAAGGGTGCCGAGAACGAGCCGCGTCTCCCGAAAAGAAATCGCGATCCCGAGACGAGGACGAGCAGCCGCCGACACCGAGTCACCGAGAAGCCCCAGCTGTTGGCGTCAGCCCCAAGGCGGAAGGAGCGGTGCGAGGAATAGTGAAGAGAAAGTAGTGAAAAAGCGTGGAACGACGGAAGAAGAGGAAGAGGAGCCGTGAGAGAAGGAGAAAAAGGTGAAGAGGAGGAAGGAAGAGTTCGTCGGGAAGAAGGGTGCCGACGTCGTCGTCGTCGGCGGCGGCGGCGGAGGAGGAGGAAGAAGAGGAGAAAAAGGAGGTGGAGGAGGCGGAAGAGGCGGTGGAGGAGGAGGCGGAGGAGGCGGAGGAGGAGAGACACGACGGAGGGAGAGAAGAGGGGAGGGAGCCGTTTGACTTGCAAATCGCTTCGCGTTCCCCCGTTTCTCGACGCTCGCCTGTTTTCCTCTTTCGCCCACGTTCTTCTACGCGGAATGCAATTACCCTAATTGCCAGCACTCGAAGCAGCGCGTTGCGTTAGGGGTGGTCGTTATCGGCCACCACGAATTACATCGTTAAGCAGCGAACGCGAGCACGCGAACGTTCGCGAGATCAAAACTCCTTCTCCGCCATTGTGAAATCTCGCGTCGAAAACGAACCCTCCTCCTAGGAGGAGGCGGAGGAGGAGGAGGAGGAAGCAGCGGTGGCGTAGGCGCGACGGCGGTGAAGGAGGTGGAGGAGGAGGAAAAGGAAGAGAAGGAGAAGGAGACGCCAAAGACGAAGAAAGTGGAGAGGGGCGAGTGTCGGCGATCGGAGTGGGGAGGACAAGGTAGAAGGAACGAGGAGAAAAGACGGCTGTGGTAGGGGAAACGGCGAGAGTAGAGTAGAGTGAAGCAGAGGCAGCGCGCTGAGCCACGAGGGGCTATTCGAGCGAGAAGGGGAGGGGTGACAAGGAACCCTGGCGGGGAGGGGACGCGGAGGCCTTCGGGGGGCCGACCAACCAGACGGCCGATGATGTCATCGGGGGAGGAGACCGAGTATTTCGCCCCCTACGGAGCAACTACGGAAAGCAAGCAACAGCGACTCCAGAAGAAGCAGAAGCGCACCAGACAGCGCGTGGACGCCGGCGAGCCGCGCAACAACTACTCGAGTATACCGCACTTCACCTCCCGGCCATCCTTCCATAGCGGTGGTCTGTACGGTTCGATCTTCGGTGGCAACGGACCGACGCATCAGCAACAACAACAACAACAACAACAGCAACAGCCGCCGCAGCACCATCAGTCGCAGTCGCAGCAGCAACAGTCGCCGCAGCAGCAACAACAACAACAACAACAACAACAGCTCCAGCAGCAACAAGCTGGAGCGGCAAGCAGTCAAGGTCATTTGAGCACAGCTACGACGGGTCCTAGCACTCAGCAGCATTCCGCCCACGCGGCTTTCGGATTTTTCGGGCCACCGGGTTACGGCCCCGCCAAGATGTTGAACGAGATACTCGGGCGACAGGTCAAACAGGCCAGTGACGCCGGTGGCTCGCCGTCAGAGGGCGGCCACGGGATGACTGGTGCCGGCATGGACTCTGCTGCTAATTTGCAATCCGGTACCGTGGTTAACTGCGACGATCCCGCCACCGCCGAGCTCACGCAGCACATGCTCCGCGACATACTTCAAGGGCGCGACATACTTCAAGGCCGGAAAATCTCCGCGCTAGCGATGCAAGAACAGTCGAACAACAATAACAGTATACACAGCAACAACAACAACAACACCACCGCGGATCTACTTAAGTCTCAACAGCATCAACAGCAGAACAGTGATAGTGCACGTAGTGGAACAGTGCAGAGTGGTGGAGAGGAGAGTGTTGACGGGAATAACGTCGTGAATAACGCGAGTCACAGTGATCGTGATACCGTGATGCCGGGCGATGCCGAGGATAGCGCGGAGGACGCAGCCGCAGCCGCACGTGCCATGGAGGAGGCGTTCGCCGAAGCTGGTATGGAGCCTGGAGCGAATCTCGATGGATCGGACTGCGAGCAGAGTTTGCCCCCGAGTCCCACGCAACCAAGGTCAGGGTCGGTTACCGTGAAGGAGGAGATACAGGACTCGTTGAACATGAAACGCAGCCCTAGTCACTCGCCTTGCCCTATCGTACCGAAAACGGAGACCAGTTCGCCGACGACGGAAACGAAGCGCGCCCGTGTCGAGAATATCGTGAGCACGATGCGCAGCAGTCCGGCGTTGCAGACCGCACCGGTGAACGGTTGCAAGAAACGCAAACTCTACCAACCCCAGCAACAAACGGTGCATCACGTTCTCCAGCACGGTGTCAGCGATACCATGAAGGACGACGAGGAGGAGTACGAGGAGGAGGATGATCCGTCGACGATCAGGCAAAAACGCGAGGAAAAGGATAACCTGCAGAGTCAGCTGATGAAGCTGCGCGAACAATTAGTCATGATGCAGCAACAGTACAATGAGCTTACGAGTAGAATCGATTCGGACGCGAGCGAAAGCATCGGTGCTCCCCTAAGTCCTCAGCCACCGCTCAAACCACCGCGACCTCATCCACCACCGTACAACGGACTCCCGGCCCTCCCGACCGAACACCCACACGCCGCGGCAGCCGCTATGTATCACATGGGACAGAAACTCTACCTCGAGCAGCAACAAGCTGCTCTCGAGAGGATGAAGCAGCATCAGGAGGCTGCTGTCAGGCAGCAGCAGCAGCAGCAGCAGCAGCAACAACAACAGCAGCAGCAGCAGCAGCAGCAACAGCACCAGCAGCAGCAGCAGCAGCACCAACGACAAACTACTCCGCCACCCCCACCGAGTCAAGCGCAGCAACAGAGTCAAAGCAATACCGGCCCGTCCACGCCGCAAACACCGCAAATGCAGCCGGCGAGTACGCCTCTTCAGCACAAAGAATTCCAGGAAAGGATAAACGTGTTCAGAGGCGCCGCGGCGGTGGCTGGCTCGTCGGGTCCCCATATCACCGACGAGGACCTCCAAGGTCTCTCGGGTACGCTCAAGGCGGAAATCACCTCCTATCTGACGAATCTCATCGACAAGGTTGTAACCAGGTTCGTGCAACAGAGAAAATACCTCGGGAAACAAAGCGAGGCGGCGCAAGTCGCCGCCGAGCAACTCAACAAGGATCTCCTGTTGGCGAGCCAGATGCTCGAGAGAAAGTCGCCTAGAACGAAAGTAGTGGACAGAGGAGCACCCCAACCACCCGGTGGCCCAAACGGGCCACGGGGGCCCCACAACGGCGGGCCCCCACCTCCACAGTCTACGGGTTTCCCGCCAATCGGTTCCATGGGTGGTGGGCCCCATGGCCCTCATACTGGCCCCATGGAAAACAACCTTAATCAAATGAATCAACTGCCCCCGCGTGTCATGTCGGCTGGCGGCATGTTTCAGACGCCAAAACCGCCGTCGATGTACAGCATGGCGTCCATGCAGGCCCAGCAACAGCAGCAGCAGCAACAACATCAGCAGCAGCTCGAGCACCAACAAAGAGACCAACAGCAACGCGACCAATATTGTAACCTGAGGGGCGAGGAGAGAGAAAGCAGGGACTCGGAACAGAACGAGGCTCTCTCGCTCGTAATGACACCGAAAAAGAAACGGCATAAGGTAATTGTGGCAGTCCCCTTCGCGGGTTTGCCATCATTTTTTCCTATCGTTCCTACGATACTTCCGGTTGGTATCCTCTCGCTCGATGTTCCGTGATAGGTAGCAGGTAGCATAGGGAACTCGTATTTATGGAAAGTCGAGGATTCATCGAGGACTTGCGAGAAAGCCCTCGAGAACCTCCTTCTCGAGTAGCAATCCATCCATCTATTGGCAAAGGTGTGCACGTTGGTCGTTGCATCGCCCTCCTGCCAGTGATTAACGTTATCTATTTTTCCGTGTCAGAAGATAGGAGGAGGGAGAGGATACTATGAGTCCCGACGTGTCGTGCCCACAGCTTAGGCTGTCCTAGGGGATGGTGTCGCCGATGCAACCGTGAGCCGAGTATGGTCTTTGCCCGTCGATAGGCTCTCGGTTGTTAATTGTCGTGCCATCGTAGGTCAGGCCCGATGTGTGTCGTGGCTGTATCCATTCTTTCATCCTTGTTACGTGGCCCGTATTACGTCTAAAAGCTTATATCCTCCTTATGCTAGGTTACAACTGCGCTATATGCTATCCTAATGTTAATACTAGGCTATTGGTGTCGGGCCATCTTTTCTGTCCACTCCAGGTCGTTGAAACTTGCGTGTCTGTTCTTTTTATCGGGGTCACCAGTCGTGGGGGTCTCCCCCACGAGGTTCGATGATGTCTCGTTGTTCCCTTGGTCGTTGTGCTATGATAGGTAGCAGATAGAAGGAAGCAAAGAGAGGGATGCATTTGGTCTTTGGCCTGCTAGTGGACTAGTCGGTAAGGCTTTCTAGCAAGCCCTGCCTTAGACTGGGGATATTTAGGTAGCATATGAATTTTGTGTTTATGGGGGTCGAGAATTCATCGAGGATTTCTTTCAAGTAGGAAGTTATCTATTGGCAAATGTGCGAACATTGGACGCTCTTAC